CAATTCCCTAAAATTTGTGCCCTCCTGTTCCTGATCCTTACCCCAGTGAGAGCAAGTTTTTCCTATCTATGTTATAGAAAACTTCTAAATATTTTCTTCAGGATCAGCAAACAAATCCTGTGCAATTCTTAAACCTTCCTCATCACTGACCTCCACGACCAAGGAACATATCTGCTTCCAATAAAACATGCACCAAAGACTGTAAATCAGACTGGCTTGTATGGTGCAGAACCTGTAAATTCCCATCTATCAAACTATGCATCATCCTGATTTGGAACTATATTGCCACCCTTTTTATTATCCCTGGGTCAGAATCCTGGAACTTCATCCCAACAGCACTGTGGATGTCCCTGAGTCCCTGCACGTCGATTACAGCGGTCCAAGAAGACAGCTTACCACCACTTTCCCGAGGATAGCTGGGGATGTATAACACATTCTGGCCTAGTCAGTGATGCCCACATCCCCTGAAAGAACAAAAGATGCAGCATAGCTCACAGGGTAAAGGGAAGGCTGTACTTCTGGCTTTACTGATTTGTAACTTCTCCCGCCAACTCCAAAATCATATCAGAGTAAATATTATCAGGGCCAGGGAGTCGGGAACAGCAGTGTGCTATTTAAGAAAACGGGTGCAGAGAGTTTTCTTTGTGTAAATGCAGATGATTAGCTGATTATGTGAAACCTTTTGATGAATATTTTAATGGAAATCAGGTTTTTGCATGTATGCTTGGTTGTGGTACGTGGTAGCTGTTCCATGGTGGACTACAATAGTTGTAACTGTTTCAAGCCAGTTTGTTACAGCTTGGTTCAGACTGGTGAGAACAATTTTCATTTGTGCTTCGATTTTGCTAAAAGGTTGAGATTGGCTGGTGGAGCATTCAAAATTTGCTAAGAAACTTAGTTGGCAGAATATTTTTACCTGTCATATTTGACCCTTAGATGAGTCTCTGACCAGACGTTTGCATTATTGATAAGGTTGCATACTTTCACCTCCATAACCTCACCAAACCCAGGCCAATCTGTCACATTGTATTCATCGTAAACTGCTGCTGCACCAAGTAGTATGGACTTATCACTACGGTCTGTTCTGCTATAACGTGTGTTCCATGAATGCAAATTGGCTGCAGCGCAACTGGTGAATAGGGGAACGCTGCTTCTAAAACGTGAACTTGTGTTGGCTGTAAAGAGATTGCATCAGTGCGCAGAGGAGTATGCGTCGACATCACGTGATGCTTTCACAGGCTTTGAACCTATTCACGACAATGTTAGCACCGAAAGAGTCTCCGCGCCAGTATCACGTGATCATTTCGCGGGCTTTGTTGCGAAGTGCTTTCTGAGAGGTACAGTACAACCTCCTCCCCCGTCAAGTCATCTTGACATTTTTTTGACATAAAATATTAAATTTACATTTATTTCATTACTAGATACGAATTAAACATTTATTTATATTGTGCTATCCTTTGTATTAGGCTTTTAAGTGATTTTTGCGCAATTTTTGTGTGTTTTTGTTTGATGGTCTGCCCCTAAACCCCACTTTTCCCATACGCCCCATTATTTCTGTAGCATGATTTTCTATAAGACGATGTTGCACAGGAACGCAACAATCGCGTTGTAGCAGAACCAACTGTACGTGTCTGTTGATCCACATTGGTTGTTGGTTAAGGAACATCATTGTCCTTACAAACTTCCCCATTCTCACTTTCGGACTGTTCTGTGGCCTCACTTTCCTTAACTCCAAAAACTTTTCCAACTCAACAACTCTGACATCTGATCTTATCCTCTTGAGCATCCATAAACCCCTCTACTCCTCTTTCCTCCTTTAATGTGCTGCTTAAAATTTGCCTCTCTGAACCAACTTTTGTTGTCTGATAGAGCCGAATAAGATTGAAGGGCATATAGAGGGTGAAGGCACTTGTTCTTGTATCGAAGGGGTTGATAACTGGATTCATAGATTTAAGGTAGAAGGGAAAGAGGAGAGTTGAGGATGTCTTTTTTTATACTCCTGAGGGTAGTGGGAGCCTTGAACTGACTCACTGAAAGAGTGATCGAGTCAGAAACTTTTGCAACTTTTGAGCATTATTTAGGTAATCACTTGCTTGCTATAGCCAGCACAGCCATGGGCCAAAAGCTGGAAAAAGGCATTAGAGTAGTCAGATCTTTGTTGACCAGTTGCAGACAGGAAAGTATCTTTTGTGCCATAACTGTCCATGGTGGAAAAATATTGATGACTTCTTTCTGTGGGATGCCTGCTGCTTCCCTGACTTGTATGGATGTATGTTGCGATTTGCGATGTTCAGTTTGGTTCTTTTAAAGAGTGGGTTGCAATAAAATATTTATTGTTGAAGTTTGATCATTTATATTAGATTTTATTTTTGGAATTTCCTTTTATCAATAAACAAAGTTTCGGCATTCCACAGATTGCTTGAAAAGCTCTACTTTGTGGGCTACTTCTGTATTGCATCTTATTCATGATTGTTTAATTATCCAAACATAAAGGATCATTTTCAAACTATTCTTTAAGTTAAATGTATTTCATGCTCAGTTTTTTTTTAAGATGAGTTGAGGCTTATCAGATAATAAGGATTTTCTTTGATTTCCAGTCTGTCACAGATTTTGAAGTCCTCAATATCTTAATTTTGTTTGAAAAGTACCTTCAGGGTCAGAATTATTGGGCTGAAATTTTGCTCCAAATGTGCATTATAGAAATGGCTAATCGAGTCAAGATTCTCTTTTTACCGTAGTGCAGTATGTAATCTGTGGTGGTGACTCATGACTATCAGCTGATAATGTGCTTTTTTGGTTCTAAACTGCTACGGATGAAGACAAATAGGGATTTAATTCAAATTTTGCACTTTTAAAGATTATCTTTTGGAGGAAGGGTTTTGGAAATGAATTCCAGAGCTTGATGCCCAAGCTGCTAGTGGTGGAGTGATGGAAATCTGGAATGTTAAGAAAATCAAAATTGGAAGAATTCCAAGATATCTCGGAGTTGGAGGAGGTTAGAGATAGAGGGCTGAGACCATGAAGGAGTTTGAAGACAAGGATGAGAATTGTTAATTTACAACTTCTTTCTGATTGTACACATAAAGTTTGTGTAGGAGTTGTACCTCAAAGCTGAGTTTATCCTTCTGAGTTACAAAGAAAAGTGCTCAACTGTTCCATTATTAATAAATCTGCCAATGTGAGTCCAGTTGTGCTCTCAGCAATTTAACACAACTTTAGAGGCATTTCTATCATCCAAAAGTGTTTTATATTACCTTGGACTTTGAACGGTTGTTTGGCCAGCTTTTTGTGTTTAGATTTGGATAAAGGGAAATAGACACTTATAAATTGAATGCTTTTTCTTCCATTTTATCGTTTTCTCTTTGTCGATGTAGTTTATTTAATATACTCATTTTCTGCTGCCACTGACCCCAAAGAATTGTATAATCAGTATTGTTTATTATGGTTACTTGAGAAAATGCACCCTGTTGAAATTAAAAGCTGTGATTGGCTGTAGATATGGCCTGAATGTCTTCATACCCGTGTGGAATGCAGTTGTAAAAGTTCTTTGCAGTTTGGTGAAAGGGATTTAAGGAAATTTGTTGTAATTTTCTTAGCAGTATCATTATATCTTATTCAATGTGTACTTATTTGATGTCGGTACCTATTTGGAGGCAAAGAGGCTGGTTTACTGCAAGTTTTAGTCCACATTGGAAGTTATTATGTAAGCATCACGTGAAGAGCTTGACTCACCAGTGACTGCTGGTTAAAGAGTTATAGTTGAGCTGTCTTTTGGTTCTTTGCCCACACACACCAAAGGCTAATATCGAAATGTAAAATTTTACTTGCCAATCGTTTTGTGCCCTGTTGATAATGTTGGATACATGACGAGTGAAACCATGTCGCTGCATTCAATTTTTTTCATTGTTGGTATACTGTGAGGAGTTTCAGTCTGAAGTGTGGAATAATTTAAATAGTTGGATTTAGTAAAGAAATCAGGGAATTTTTCAGGATGGGCAATGGATGAGAAGAGTGGGCCCCTTCTCCCTTATCCATATCACGTAATCCATAACACAGTTTTAAACCCCTGAACGCCAAATTTAATTTCTGTCAAATATAGTGTGTGTGTGTGTGTGTGTGTGTGTGTGTGTGTGTGTGTGTATATATAACATATTCAAAAGGATTTCATTTCAGCATTGTAATGAGAATAAAGATTACATGGAGATCTTTCAAACTGCTATTATAGAATTTTCAGGAGAATGAATAATCTTACTAATCTGAACTGGAATTCATGTCTTCTGTTCATTTAACAATCTGATAACTACTCCTGCTGCGGACATGCACAGTCCAAATGATATTTCAGGAAGTTTCCAAACTTTAACACGACAGAAGCAGCTAGGTCATGCTCAAACAGGAAAGTTTGTTTTGGTTTGTTTCACTCCTCCCTGCTGCCCTATCTCTCCCCCACCCCGTGACCTTGTATTTGATGCAATTTTGACTTCCTACAAATACCATCAAATTATGACAGGAAACATGTGATTTGAGGAGGTATTTACACAGTCAACTTTTCTTTACCGAGATTGCAATTTTAACACCAGGACAAAAGACAAAGACATCTTGACTGCAGTTGAATTCTGTTCGCCCATTTTAATGCACTGTACATTTTATCTGGGGGGAAAAGAAACTTGTGTATTCATGGCACTGAGCTGGTTTGCTGCTGGCTAAATAAAGGGCTAGAAATGATTGTCAAGAGCAAAGAGCGCCAAAAGCAAAAATGCTAATGGTCTGTGTCACTGCATCATTTATTTGATCCTTTTATCCAACTTTGATCTTTGTAGCTTCCAATTTGTACTTCACACCAGTTTTCTCAAATGTAGACATTGATGAGTGACAATGTCCTTAGAGAGGTCACGAACCAGTCTTGGCTGCTTCGATCATCTTGTTGTCTTTCAGACTGCTGTCTTGCTTATCGTAATTGGTGTTTTCAGTCATCTCACTCATGTGCCTTTTGTGTCTTTCAGGTATTTTCAAAAGAAATAATTCCAGATTAATGGAGGAAATCTTAAAACAACAGCAAGAATTGTTAGGTCTAGACTCTTCAAAATATTCTACTGAATTTTTAAATAGTAACAAGAAAATTGAACAAGGTCAGTACCTTATGCAGTTTTTAAAATTGCATTTGTAAATTGAAATCCTATTTTGTCAAAAACTGAACATAGATTTCTAATAAAAGTCCTTTGCCAGCTTAACTCCTTTTAATTTGTACAATGTTATGTCCTATATCCATTGAAAATATTGTCTTGTAAAGAAAATTGTCAACTTTGTCACAGTTTGCAATGTGTCTTTTGTAACATTTGCTGAGATGAACTTGCTAATGTGGTATTGTCATAGCTTTGAAGAATGTACTTCATAATCTATGCACAAATTCTTGCTTGAAAACATACCACACCAGTCAAATCTTGAAAATGCTGCTGGTAATCTGTAGGGCATCTTGATAATTACATAAAAGTTTCCAGTTTTAGATTACTAACTTAACATGGGTCACTTGCAATAATTTAGAGGAATTTAATTTGCTCAGTGATCCTTTTATTTTCAAATATAAACCTGCATTTATTCATAAAGTATATCAATTTTACTTTTATGCCTTAAACCTGACATTTAACAAGTACTTTTTTGAGCTGCCTGCTGCTCTATTTGATTGTCTCAGTGTTTGGAAAGTATAATAGAGCAAAGGATTTTGAAGTTTTTGGCTTCAAAAATTGCAAAATCAGATCATGGAATACAGTTAACAAGATCCTGTGCTACTTGTAAAAGCTCTCAAACCCAGTTAAACATTATTGTTTTTACAAATTAAGTTTTGGAGTAGATTTGTAGCTCGGGTTGTGGATGTTGTGGTTGGTTGGCTCGCCGAGCTGATTTGTTGTTTTTCTGCAGATGTTTCATTACCCTGCTGGGTAACATCATCAGTGCAGCCTCCAATGAAAGTTCATCGGAGGCTGCACTGATGTTACCCAGCAGGGTAATGAAACGTCTGCGGAACAACAACAAACCGGCTCGGCGAGCCAACCTACCACAACAAATTAAGTCTTTGTGCAAACATTATGCTACTGATACTTGGTACAACATATTTTAACTTTTGTATTTTAGTTCTGTCTTGCCCGACTACAGTGAAAGTGCTTTCACCTGATGATGGGAAAGCAGATATAGTGAAAGCTGCTAAAAAATACTGTCAGTTGGTTGCTCAGCAGCAGAGAAGGTCCACTGATCTAAATGTGAATATTATGGACAGTTTTCTCAGAGGTAAGTGCCATTTGTTGGTCATTGGAAGGAATGCAATGAGCACAGCATCACCACAACAGTTGCATTGCAAGAGATGCTAATGTGGGTTTCTAGAAGGAACCTTTTTCTGGTCTAAAGGTTCTGGCACAGAAATCAATGTCTTGCAACAACATAAATATACTCTGAACTGATGTTTTCCCAGCCACTATCAGTTCTGAGGAAGGGTCACCGGACCCGAAACGTTAACTCTGTTTTTTCCTTCACAAAGGCTGCCAGACCTGCTGAGCTTTTCCAGCAACTTTGTTTTTGTACTCTAAATGTTGGACACCTTTGTTATCCAATTGTACACATGTTCACAATGATACTGGTTGCTTAGAAGCCCTGCAAGCTGTGGTAGTCAAACCACTAGCATATCTTCAAACGTCTTCAGAACAGCTGACCAAGCCAGTCGTAGAGATATATAGCACGGGACACAGACCCTTTGGTCCAACTTGTCCATGCTGACCAGATATCCTCCAAACATCTAGTCCCATTTGCCAGCATTTGGCCCATATCCCTCTTAACCCTACCTATTCATATACCCATCCAAATGCCTTTTAAATGTTGTAATTGTACCCACCTGCATCACTTGCTCTGGCAGCTCATTTCAGAAATGCAGCACACGCTGCGTGAAAAAGTTGCCCCTTAGGTCCCTTTTTATATATTTCCTGTCTCACCTTAAACTTGTGCACTCTAATTTTGGACCTCCCATCCCAGGGAAAAGACCTTGTCTGTTTACCCTATCCATGCCCCTCATGATTTTATAAACCTCTATAAGGTCACCCCTCAGCCTCCGATGCTCCAGGGAAAATAGCCCCAGCCTATTCATCTTCTCCCTATAGCTCAAACCCTCCAACCCTGGCAACACCCTCGTAAACTTTTTCTGAACCCTTTCAAGTTTGCTACCCACTGCAGCAACAAATTCTTTCTCGAGAACTTCCTATATACCGTATTGCTGTAGAACACACTATATTAAGTAGCTGCTATTTTTGGTCACTTTGATTCATTTTTAGTTACAGAACTGTCATGTTTAAAGCTTGTGCCAGATCTGTTCTTTCTGGGTCGCAGTCTCAGACAGGAGTGTGGGATGTTATCTCTCTTGCCTTTTATCAATCTCCAATGCTGCTGTGAAGGAGATGTTTTATGATAACAGAGACCTCTTTTGTTCAGCTCTAGCACACTTCAGTATCCATTTAGATTCTTGCTGATCCTTAGCATGTCTGTATCTTTCCTAAATTTCCCATTCTGCCGTCCTGTTCTCAAATGGACAATGCAGTTCTTTAGTCATAGTTTGGAGAATACAGTCCAGCGAATAGTTAGGTACTTGTTATTGACCAGCACAGATTTGATGGGCTAAATGGCCTTTTCCTGTGCAGTAGACCTTTATAACTCTGACTCCACTTCTCTTTCCATGTTTCATTCCATCACCGAGACACAAAATCAGCGCATGACTTTGCCAAAACCTACTTACATTGATTAATATGAACAAAATGAACAGTTGCATGATTCAAAGTGATTACCTTAATGCATTAGCTTGCATTTCATTTAACTTGAATTTTAATTCCTTTGTCACAAATTACAATTTCTATTCAATCTTCAGGTTTTAGTGAGCCTGTTTTTAATCTAAAATGAACTGGCTAGGCCACTACAGTGTAATGTTTAAATCTGTCGTCTTCTTCAGTTGTCTGCATTTTAGAAGGTTATGTCAGGTTGCAATATAATTTCATTCTTGTTTGTATCTTGTAAAACATGAGTCACGACTGTGCTGATAATAGTTTGATCCCCTATCGGTAGTTATTTTTATTTGAGTTCTCTTGTTACCAGACTTATTCTTGTATATAATCAAAAAATTTTGTATGGTATGATGCTTGCATATATTTAAGACAGGCGTACTTTTTATTTTCTCCCTTTTCAGAAAGCGCATTCGGTTTACCTGACCCGGATCTAGTTTTAAAATTTGGTCCTGTGGACAGCACACTTGGCTTTCTGCCGTGGCACATCAGACTTACTGAAATTATGTAAGTATCTTTGGGACTCTATTTACAAATTAAACATTTGTTTATTATGTTGAAGCAATGAGATGCAGCAAGTCAATTTTTAAATGAATGTGCAATTAATTTGGAGGACATTTGATGGAGGATGTTCTATAATTTTTGCAAAATATCGGTGTATTTTGTTTGATTTAGCATGCTCCGCCTTCATTGCGTAAACGTGTAGAATAGGAATCTGCAGATGCCCAAAAAGTGCTCTTGTCCATCATCCAGATAGAGATAATGAGACAGGGATGCACTTTTGAAGGATTTGGTAACTTCACTATTGAGCCTATTGCATAAGGGCAACAGTCAAACTGAAATAACCTGGATGATGTTAAGCACCTTGTGTGATGCAGTTGACTATCCACTGACATACCTGGTATGAGTATTGCAGATAGAGGAGCAACTTCAAAGGAACAAGAGGTGAGCCACTTATTGCAGGCTCCCCACCTTCTGCCTTGTTCTTGCAACCATTATGTTCTAATGACTGATTCAGTTCAACTTCTCATCAGTGCTGATCCTCGTTGATCTTGTGTGCTTGAAAGTCAGCAGATGGTTTTCTTAGGTGACAAAGAGGATGAATTATTTTTTTGTCTGAAGCCATTTGACCTATTCATGATTAAATTGATGGAGAGGGACTAACATCAGATTTAAGTGATTTGTTTGGGGTTTTGTTAATTTGTGTGCAACCACTAGGTGGTACTGTGTAGTTGTCATATTGTCTGCAGGCATTCTTCTGGCTCAAAATGCAAGACTATGTTAATTAATTAATTTCTGGTACTGTCTTGATGGAAGTGCTGGTCATTAACAAACATTGCTCATTTTCTTGGAGAAACTAGCTACTTGAAAATAGGGAGCAAACTAGTTATAAAAAGGATGACAGTGTTCAAAGTAGAAAATTCAACTGATCTGAATGGGATCCTTAGGCACTGGAGCTGACGGTTTAAATTCATGGCTGATCTGTGCCCTACTGTGATCTTTTTGACGTATCTCTGAATACCTTTTAGTTAACAGTCATCTGTCAATCTCAGATTGAAAGTTATAATTGCCCCAGCATCTTCAATTGGCATTTGAGGAGGAGCATTCTGAACTTCTGCCCCGTTTCTGACTGGGAATGTTTCCTAATTCCACCCTGAATGACCTAACCGTGAAGTTTAGGGTATGCCCTCTAGTCCTGGAGCTCTGACTACCTACCTGCCCTATCAGACCACCTTAACAACTTAAACTTTGACCGATTCATCGTTTAACCTTCTAAATTCCAGGGAATGTAATCCTTGTGTAATCTCTCCTCATGATTTAGCATTGGAGTGTATGTATTATTCTGGTACATCTATGCTGCACTCCCATCAAGGTTGCTGAGGAAAGTCGGGATAACCATTGTGCAAGTTCTGGTTACAAATTTCCAGTATTGCTTTGTTTATGGGAATGGTGCTACAATACTGAGGGATTGCAAATGTTACACCCCTGTTTAAAAACAAAAAGGAAAATGACAAACCCAATAAGAGATTTGTGAAATGGGCACACCCCTGCCTGTTGAAGCTTAGTGCAGAGAAACATGTACTGATTTGTTTGCAGATAGACTGAGAAGTAGCAAGTGGTACAGTTGTAAAGAATAAACAGGAATTGGGAGATCCGAGAACGTACGTATACAAGTTTTGCGAGAACGAGTGAAAGTTATTAATATCGTGCAAATCTTTGCTTTATAAACATTGTGCGAAAGGCTTCCATAAAGTACTGTTGAGGTCCGATCTGGAGGACTGCATTCAGCTTTGGGCACTGTATTTTAAGAAAGGTATCACAGACTTGGAGAGGTGCCGAAGAGGTTTACTGGAATGGTACCAGGGTTAAAAAATTACGTGGAGAAAGTAGGGAAGCTGAGGTTGCCCTCCTAGGAGCAGAGAAAGCTAATATGAAATTTAATATGAATGTGGAGAAGCTGCTGTTGCTGGTTAAAAACCTCCATTACCAGAGGATACATTTAAAATATAGTTATTGGCAAAGGAACTGGTAGTGGGAAGGTGACATGACATGTAAGGGAAAAGGTAATGCAGCAGAATATGTCGGCTTAAAGGCTGGTGGGAGCTGATTCAGTCATAACTTTTAAAAGTGGAATCGATCAATTATTGAAATGGAATAAAGGTTCTTGGCTATGGAGAAAAGGACGTAGGACAAATGGAACAGCTGTTTTAATGTACTGTAATGGGCATGATCAGTTGAATGGTACCCTACGTTTTTTTGTTCCATAATTCCACGATTCAAAACGATCAATGAAAAACCAGTGAGTAAAACTCTTAAAAGCTTTCAAGTTGGATTTACAGTAATTAATGTGCTCCAGTATTGGCACGTGCTTCTCCATTCTTTGTGCATTAATTCTAGCTTTTGGAACAGGAATTTGGTGCATGGACTTGAATTTCATGACAGTTGGATAAGTTTATGTCCATATGTATCAAGACTTGGACAATATTCAGGCTTGGACTGAGAAATGGCAAATGATATTTGCATCACACAAGTGCGAGGCAGTAATCATCTCCAGTGAGCAAGAGAATAATGCTTGGCAGTACAGAAATTAGACATTGCTAAGAGGAGACAAGGATTTGGAAGTTTTCATCTTCCCCTGAATAGGATTGAGGTAAGAAACAGATTGGAGAAAAAGGGACATAAATGTATCCCCACACCCTCTCCCTCCGCGCACGCCGCCACCAGCATTGGTATTCCTGCATCCATGTGCTACAAGATCAGTCTTATTAACAACCTCATTACTTGGGCCCTAGCCATCTGCTCACCATCTAAGCTTGATGCTAAGAGCATATCAAAACTTTACTGTGTAATAACATTGTGAAAACTTAGGAAAGGGCCTGAGCAATGTTGAGTATACTTCAACTAACCTGAGAGGGGAAAACAGTCTCCAAAATCTGATCAAGTGGAGGTAGATGTCTCCTCCTGCTTGTTGCATACAAGTGGTTTTCACCACTAACTGGATGTTGCCTTCAAACCAAAAAGATGTTTTTGTCTCTCTCATAAAGGAATAATATGATATGAGTTCTAGTATCAGTGTCGTGCCAGATATGTCAGCCATTTGTCCCAATAACTAGCAGACTGTATCAAAACAATGCACTTCGTTGGCTGTTCACAGCTAGCAGCATGTCAGTCATGTACAAGCGGCCTGCATTTGCAAGCCTCAGAAAAGTATAAAATTATAGCTGTGATCCTGCTATTGGAAGCCGTTTACGAAATAATCCAGATTGTGCTAAGTATTACGTTGGAAACTGATAGTCTGACTTGAAATGTGATGCATTTGTGCACGCTCGGAGATATGCACGTTAATACACAGGATCCTGTTTAATGTGAGCAAAAGGAATTTGTATATTGCTTTTTTTTTCTCATGAATAAAAGGGGCCATGGACAGTGCCAATCTCTGCATTTCCATGGCAGCACCTTGACCAATCAGAATCTACTTGCTTGGTCTGAGAATTCAGTTGGCAGTTAACTCACTTGCTGCGTCCCAATGTCACTGATAGCCAAACCAATCAGCACCCTCCTCTCAAAAATATATCCTTCTTTCCAAGTCTGTTTCTTGCATCATAGTCCTGATGAACACAAGGCAATAACCTTTGATTTGTTCCCTTTTAGCAATGGTTGAGAGAGAATCTGAACATCTCCCATGGCATTTAACAGCATTAGCATCACAGTCAACATCCTGGGCTTTTTTTTTAAATCAACTGCCTAGAGCAACTATATAACTAATGTGATGATGTTTGGCACACTTGCCATGATTGCTCGGTCCTTTGAATATAGGAGTTGGGAAGTCATGTTGAGGTTGTACAGGACATTGGTGAGGCCTCTTTTGGAATGCCATGCCCCGTTCTGGTCACTCGGTTTTAGGAAGGATATTATTAAGCTGGAGAAGATTCAGAAGAGATTTAACAGGATGTTGCTGTGTATGGAAAGTTTGAGTTTAAAGAAAGGCTGGATAGGTGAGGACATTTTTCACAGAAGCATAGGAGGTTGAGAGGAGACCTTATACAAGGTTGTAAAATAATGAGGTATAGATAGAATTAATAGTTCTCTTTTCCGTAGGATGGAGGAGTTCAAGACTAGGGGGCACGTTTTTAAGGTGAGAGGAGAGAAATTTAAAACAGATATGAGTGGAAAATTCTTTTACACAGAGGGTGGTTTGTATGTGGAATGAACTTCCTGAGGAAGTGGTGGATGTGGATACAATTACAGCATTTAAAAGACATTTGGATAAGTACATGAATAGGAAAGGTTTGGAGGGATATGGGCCAGAAGCAGGCCAGTGGGACTAGCTTAGTTTGGGATTATGTTCAGCATGGACTGGTTGGACCGAAGGGTCTGTTTCCGTGTTGTATGACTCTATCTGCAAGAGTCAAGTCAGGATTTTGATGGAATGCTCTCTCTTGCCTGGATAGGTGCAGCTGCAGCAACACTGAAGCTTGATACCATTCAGGATGAAACAATCTACTTGATTGGCACCCCTTCCATCACTTTAAGCCTTCACTGCCTCCACACCAATGTTCATTGGCCACAGTGTATACCATCTACAAGGTGCACTGCAGCAGCACACCAGGGCCTCTTTGACATCTTTGAAATCCACAACCTCATCCATCTAGAAGGAAGAGGTCTGCAGACACAGGAACGATAGCCTAGTTGTGTTATTGCTAGACTGATAATCTAGGTAATGATCTGAGATCTAGATTCAAATCTAGAAGCTGGAATTTGAATTTAATCTCTTTTTTAAAAAAAAAAAGAAAAAAAAATCTGCAATTGGAGTCTAATGATAACCACAAGACCATTGTTGATTGTCAGGAAAAAACCCCATCTGGCTCACTGATGTCCTTTAGGGAAGGAAATCTGCCATCCTCACCTGGTCTGGTTTACTTGTGACTCCAGACCCACAGTAATGTGGTTCACCCTTAGCTGTCCCCAGGACAAGAGGGATGAGCAATAAATACTGGCCTACCCATATCCCATGAATAAATTAAAACATGGGTACACCCACACCTGAAAGTTCATCTCTAAGTCTCTGATTGTCCTGACTTTTATTTTATAGTTCCTTTGTCATGGTATCAAAATTCTAAAGCTGCCTTCCCAACAGCACTGTGGGTGTACCGAGGCTACTAGTACTGTAGCGATTCAAAAAGGCAGCTTAACACTGCCTTCTTGAGAGCTGTTAGGGATGTGATGAGTACCATGTCTAATGATGCCCTTGTACAAAAAACATTTTTTAACTTGCATAGTTTTAAAGACCTAGGTGTTATTGTTATTAGTTAACATCTCAGCACGTTTTCTGAGAGAACATACGAAACTGCTAGTTCCTTCCTGATTTGTATACCCAAGCATTTCTGCTATCATCTTCGTTACTCTTGTCTGCACCCTGCATTGTCTGTATCTCCTGTTTAATAACTAGTGACCCAAACCGCACACATGAAGTGCAATTTTAACAAGGTTCAATGCAGGGTTAGCATAACGTCCTTACTTTTCAATTTCCCTCTCTAGAAGTAAAACCTCAGGCTAGGTTTGTAATAGGAGGTTTGCACCCAAGGTGATGGTAAGAAATGTAACTCAACAACTCCTCCAGAGCAGTCAGTTCTTGCAGTTTTGATGAAGTCGTATTTGACTTGAATGTTAACTCTGTTTTTCTCTCCACTAATGCTTCCAGACTTAGAGTACAGCAAACTTGTTTATTAACTGGCATCTATGGCACCAGGAGTGTGCCAGTTGATCAAATATTCCTGTTGATTGATGTCCACATAATCAATGTAAAAACACACATTAATGTGTTGCAGGGGGTATACACATCGCTGTTGTACCTTATTTACAGCATAAATCACTTAAGTATTAGTGGAACCTTGCCTTAAATAAAAAATCACTGACAGAGAGCCTTCTCATTCACACCCTCAACTGACTACATGGACATCACGGTGATAGCGATAATACTGTAAACGACCAGTATTTCGGGTATATAATTTTTGCTGGTTTATCGAGTGTGCTGGTTAAAACAAAGTTTGCTGTATTTCCTGTTTTTCTTTCAGATCTCCAATACACCAGTATTTTCCTTTCTTCCTTATTTTTGTTTTGTGAATTGTTACAATGGAAAGCTGAGGATTGATTTGAATTTAATGTGTCCAGTATCAAAAGTCTCATCTTCCTGTTCTCCCTGACAATGCTGCCACTACCGTTTTGAAAGGTGGCTGCTTGGAATGCTCCCATTACGTCCGTGAGCAAGAAAGTTAGAGGCTGAGCTAAAGGGAGTGTAGAGTGATGGTGGGAACCCTGACATAGCCCACACACTTCTCTGGGTCATGACCCTCTCCCTGCACTTGCCCTAAAAATTGGTACATCAATCTGGTGAGTTTTCTATTAGACGCACCATATCTCAGCAGTCCTATTCAAATGAAGTTGGGACTTGACATTTTGGCTGCCTTGTCATTGTCTCTGTATGTGTATGTGTGGACAAGCAGCCCACTACCACAATGGCTTGCTCTAACGACAAAATGGACCCCAATGTAGTTAGCTTAGACCTGTCTTAAAAGTGCATTTTGAATTTCAGTGATGTGGTATGTTGCATTTTATTAATGCGTTTCCTCCTCCTCCTACCTCTAGATCATTGTCTTCACACATCAACTTAAGTTATGAAAGATTTATTTCCGCCCTCCAGCAGTTTGCAGCCTGTGAACAACGAATGGGAAAATGACCACAAGTCAGCATGGAATCGCGTCCAGGCTTCAGTCAAAGGGACCCAGAATATCCAATGTTTACACTTACCTGTGAACCATTGAATCCCAATTCAGTGTCTTTCTTTTTATCAACCGAGGATAAGAATGTGTCTTTGTTCAAATCTTAGTTGCGTCGCTGTCTGTGAGGGGTCAGTATCTTTTTTTTAAAGAAACAGTTGAGCTTGACCATAATTCAGGCATTCTGAAATGGGACTTTTTATATGAAAGAACTGTAAGTTCGAAGGATTACCATCATTGGACTCTTCTTTCTTGGATGATATGGACAAATAACTTATCTGCAATGCCTTGCACTAAATGAGTGTTCAATAAATGTATAAAGATGATCCTATTCCATTTTAAAGTCCTATTTTAATGCAACACCTAGAATTTCAATGAGTTTTAATTAGCCTTAAACTAGAGTGCAGCAGGGATGTTTGATCATGTACTGCTCAAGATTTAAAAACAGCTATTTTTTCCCCAAAGCTTTAAAGATATAAATATGGAATTTAAGTAATGTAAAGTAAGAGATTACACTATTCCATTGTATCATTATGATGGACAGCCTGGTTTGTACTTGGCTGTCTCTTGTGCAGGTGCAAGGATGTGGGCTGGCTGCCATTCTTGTGAATGCATTTGTGGGCCAGTGTGTGATGTTGTATTAGTTTCCTGATGAAACTGAACTATGGCATGAATTGCTTTTGTGTGTTGTTGCTGTTTAGTTTATTTTATTAGATAGACCTTGCTCAATTTCACCGAGACAGATTTGTTAGTGGTTGATGGATAAGGGAATCTGTTTAAATGCCATATTTCATATAAAATTGGAAACCGAAGAGAAGCGTAAAGGAACAATATTTTTGGGTTTTAATTGTATCATAAACTGCGAGCAAAGTTGAACGGGTATACAATCCAAGCAAGGGATATTAATTGTACTTTTTCAATTTTATTTTATATATGATATGGCATATACAAAACGTAATTTCGTGATAAAATTTAAAAATCTGAAGATTTATATTTGCACCCTCTGTTTCCCTGTGGTGGATGCACTGATATTCAGACTTGTCAGTTGTGACTTAAGTTGATGCATGACACATGGTCGTAGGTACAAAGTTATGGTTTTCCAGTGTGATTTTGCTCTTGTAAGAATATTGTATTATGATATTAATGTTAACCTGTTTCAAGCACAAATATGGCACAGATCACAGTGCCGAAGTTGGAAATCTATATCCTTACATGTCATCACAGCAGTGGGTATTCCCATACAATAAAATCATAGCCATTGTCACCAAGGGAAGAAGAGCATGGAAGTCTAGTGGTGCATGTCCTTTTGGCTGATGCATACCTGTGCTTTACATTAATAAATGTTATGCCATAGTTGAGAGTTGTGTCAATAATTAGAAATGTAATTAGAAATTAGAA